TCTCAAGTAATCTACTTTCTAGAGTTTATATAAATTGGACATATTATTTCAATATAGAGTTCAAAGGGGCATATAGCTTAGAAGTTGTAATTTGGAAGTTATTTATTATGGTATTAGACTATATTGTCATTTGTTTTTAATTAAATTTATAGCAGTAAAACGTGTATTTTTGTGTTGGCACTGTGTTGCACTACATGCTCAGCTTGTGTGAAACTTATCATAAAGAAATCAAAATGAATAAAAAATTTATTTAAACTGGATATATTGTTTCATCGTACATTTTAAAGGGGCATATATATATTACACAAATCCTTCAGGACTTTATGCTTTGATTGTGTAGTAGAAGAAAAATTGAAGTTTTTTTATTGTGGTTTTGCCTAATTATATTGTAGGTTTATAAGTAATTATTGTTACATTTTTTTAAGTCAATTAGATTTATTAATAAACTTTTAAAAACTATTAATTCTAGGTTATATATGTATAGGTTTTAATTTACTAGTAAATAATTTAAATAAATTTATGTTATAGATATATTTAACTTGAATATATAAAAAAAAAACATATAAATTAAGAATCTTATACAACTATAATTTATATTATAATAACTTTTATGTTGAATTATATATTAAATTTTAAAAAATAAATTATTACATAATAAATAAAAATTATAAAATTAATAAAAATCAATTAACCCTATATAAACATCATAAATAAAAATGATCCAACTGCCACTTAACCTATTGACTCTCCTTGGAGACCGGCTTTTATTTCCAACGAAGTTTGATTCATCCACAGACCTCATTTATTATTGAACATGGGATCACCAACTCCATTTGGACGCCCTCTAAATATTGGTAGTCAGTTTTTCAGTAATTTTAAATAAGCTATTGCTTAGAATAGTGCAATGTATTATTTTTATTGTGGCACTATGTTGTGGTATCTATCGAACTCATGTAAAACTTATATATTAAAAAAGTTAATATGAACGTATAATTGATTTAAACTGGATATATGGTCTCATTATAGAGTCTTAATGGTCATGTGTGTTCCATGGCTTAGAAGTTAAAAAAATGAAGTTCTTTATTGTCGTTTTGCTAGACTAAATTGTAGGTTTAACTTTAACTAATTTTACAATAGTGCAATGTGTTATTTATATAAAGCAAAAGTTTATATAAGGTTGCAACCTTAAAATATAGAATTACTCGTGCACCTCAAAAGTCCATTGGAAAAGGTTGTTTTAATGTTGAAAAGCCATCTAATTGAGCATCTCGACATTTAGATGTACGAACATGAAAAAAAAAAGATTTTGAGTTCTAAAAATAATATATCTTGCAATACATTATCTAGACCGCCAATTTTCATGATTTTCATATGTTTATAAATCTATTTTACTTAACCATTTTTGGAGTTTAAAATTTTATAATTAGATATGAAAATAGATTTCATATACTCCTAAGAATTGTTTACACTAAAATTACATGTTATGATAAAATTTGTAGGCGCGCTTTAATTTGTTTAAGGTTGCAATCTTATAAAAACCACACCCTTTATATAATGGTGCTATGTTGTGCTATCTACTCAATTTGTGTCAATTTTATTAAGATCTGATTTAGAAAATCATGACTCCAATTTTGTAATTCAAAGAAATTTTTTTAAAATCAATTACATCCCATAATTCAAAATGATGGTCGAATTATTTGTTGGAATTAGTTAAACCCCATAATTCAAAATCAATTAAACGCCATAATTTAAAATTAATTAAACCCCATAATTCAAAATTAATTTGTAGGAATTAATTAAACCCCATAATTCAAAATCAATTAAACCCCATAATTCAAAATGATGGAACACCTACATTTTAATAACTTTTTTGTACTTTGACCTTTTACTTGAATTTATGCTCATTAAAATAGAATATAATTTGTAGGAAAAAGTTTGTATAAGGATGCAACCTTATAATGTAGAACTACGGATGCACCTCAAAAGTCCATTAAAAAAGGTAGTTTTAACGTTGAAAAACCCTTTGATTGATCATCTCAACATCAAGATGTATGACCATGAAAAATAAAAACATTTTAAGTCTCAGAAATAGTGCATTTTACAACATATTATCTAGACCATCCATTTTCAAGATTTTCATATGTTTATAGATCTACTTGATTTTAACCATTTTTTAAATTTAAAATTTTATAATTAAATATAAAAACAGATTTTGAGATAATCCTAAAAAAATTTTACATCAAAATTATATACCATGATAAAATTTGAATGTGGACCTTACCATCTACGCCCACTCTTGCATCCATATGATGCCAACTGCACCTTAATTTATATGATCTTAATTTTATGAACTTTTTTTTACTTTGATCTTTTACTTGAATTTATGCTCATTAAAATAAAATATAATTTATATGATCTTAATTTTTTTAAAAAATAGTTGTTTCATATAAAAATCAAATTTGACTGTGTTCCTTTTAATAGTTTATAAAATTTATGAAATGTACTTGAAAGGAGTAAATTGTCTTTTAGTAAATAAAAGTATTGGTTATTTTGGAAGAAGTAGAAAGTAACTTTCTGGGTACGATTTAAGCATTAATTAGCTTTTTATGATTTTTTTTTTTTTTGCTTTTTTTGGGAGATCTTTTTATGATCTTATATGGTGTTTCATCTTTGCTCCCTTAGAAGCACATTGTATTTATGATCCGTCATGAAGTAGATGTGATAGCATTTATGGATTTAAAAGAAAATTTACGTATGTATGATAATATATGTATTTGAAAATAAAAATATTAAAAATTATTTTTAAAAAACTTGATGCAGTTTTAAGTTGAGGGCTCATATAACATGTGAGGGAATATAGACATTTTTACCATAGGGTTGGTAACGCACGTGACCTAAACAAAGAGTCGTGTGCACGAAATTTTATTAATTCTATAGGGAATTTTTAGCTGTCTACATGTATTTTTCATTTATAGAGATTAAGAAGTGATTTGATTATCGAGATTAGCTTTTGCGCCATCCTACTAGGTGCAGTGCGTGTTTGTCCTTATTTTTTGCTACATGTACTCTGTGGTAAACAATCTCCGAATTCGATCATGTTTTATTTCTTTTATGGAATTTTATAGTATAAAATCATTCACTTTTAGTATAAGATGATATCAACATTCTTAGCCATATGGTATGAAAACTAATGGATTGATATGTACGACATTAAAACAAAATTATTTTGACTTCATGCCTAATCAATAACAAACTCAAAATTTTACATTTAACAGTCAATAATGATTGTAATCTCTTAATACCAAAAGTTAATGATCTTCTTGTATATATTTCCTTCTTTTATTCGTCAATTTCCATAACTTGATACTACCCATTCTTATAACAGGGTCATTCACAATGTCACAATTACTGGTAACTTATAGATGGAAAATTTGGGGCTTTTATAAAGCATAAAATCTGAGAAAAATATTCAAACATCAGAACTACCTCAAGCAATCATGTTTAGCATGTTACAGCTAAAAGTGATTGTGACCTCTAACCAAGATCTACAACATACGAAAATTCAAAAATTAAGCCAAATCATAGTATGTGCCAACTCAAGACCTATAGGATACTTGGCCAATTCTAGACTCAAGCAAGCCACTTGGTACCCCTTTTCTATGTGGAGAAAAAAAAAAAAAACAAAGCTTATTAAGTTTTCCATCATCTTTTCTATCGGAAGTTGATCCCCCTAATATTGTAGACCTCAATTCGATTGATATTAACGCCAGTCAATGTCTACTAGCACACAATGCATTGCCTCTTGTTCCCCCCGTCCCTTTTTAGTCTGCCATTGTGATCGTGCAAAGTGCCAACTCGTCCCTTGTTCTTGGTAGATGCTGATTTTGTGCAATCTCTCTCCATCTCTCTTTCTCTCTCTCTCCCCTCCCTTTTTAATCTCAATGAAACCATAGTCAACAATTTAGAAAATAACAATATATCAGGTAACCAAAATATCGGTAACGAATTGATTTTACTCTAAAAAATCGGAAGCAAAAACTCAAGTAAAAAAAATACAAATAACTGAAAATAAAGTAAATTAGAAGACCTTGAATATTTCAAATTTCACTAAAAAAACTGAGTAAATTTATCAACTAGTATGAAAACACTAAAACTATTGAACTAAATCTTGATAGAGTTACCTAATATCATTAGCGTCATACTTGATAAATTTATCTAATTTTTTAATAAATACAACAATGTTTATTATGTTGTCATGATACAAAACATATAATAGATTTATTGAGAATATATAATAAAACAATAACAATACTAAACACGAAAACTAACAAGGACGATAACCAAGATATGGGACTATTATTCAAAGAAAAAACACACAAATAATCCTTCGCATAATGTAATGTAGTGCCCATCCAAATTGCTATGTTTCTTACCTAATACAATAAAAAAAAAATAAATATAAAAAGGTCAAACTAATCAAACTTATTATGCAGAAATAAGGCAACAAAATACTTAACCAAGTCTAAATATTCAAAGCTCACCCCAAGTTAATGAAATTGTGTTTAGAGGGAAAAAAAACAGATTTTTCTTTTGGTAAAGTCTTCTTCTAACTCTTTTAAGTATTATTTCGAGATATATGATGGTTTTAATAGATTATCTTTTGGAGAATAAAGGGAACATGGTGGTGAAAAAATTTTATGAATTTTTTTTGTTAAATCTAAGATTTTTAATTTTCTCCACTTTTAATGCACTTATCTCTAAACTAAAATTCGAATATATTAAATAAATGAAGTGATAAAGTTATAAAGACGAAGCTTTTTTTGAATTTTTTGTTTAGAAAAGATAAAATACAGATTTATATTGCTTCCAATAAAAAAAACGTGATTTTTTAATATCTTTTCAAAAACTCAAAACTCTCTGGAGATTTTTCTGAAAAAATCATGTTATCGGAGACTTGCTAAATATGAACGAAACCATAATCTAGGACACCGTTTTGCATGCTCAACTCAAGGGTGCAATGGCACCTTTATTATCCAAAGATTTATATAATTGATGATGCTACATATTGCTGTGAAGAAAATTATAAATTACACAACACACTATTTGTTTCACGAACTCTTTGCTTTATCCCTCAGTTTCTGTAGGAAATCTAAGGTCTCTTTGTATGACGGATCCGAACGGTTAACCGGTTTGCACGAATTGATGTGATCAGTTGCTTCCAAAACCTGCACCAATCATCCGAAAGAAACAGATGGCTGAAATCCCCAATGAACACAAAAATGCTTGAATGTTAATGAAATGTGTCTTGAAACTTTTATACCTTAATATCTCAGTTTACTAAGACAATGACTTTGCTATAAAATAAAAAAAAAGAGCACTAAGTTGCACACCATTCAAAATAGAAAGTTTTCATTGCGTTCTCCACAAAATTACAGACAAGCAAAACACTGATGACTTAGAGCTATGGATGGGATTTCCTGGAACAACCACTCCTACTTGGCAGGGCTCATTGTTTTCAAGATCTAAGGCAAAGACAGCACGTTCCCAAATCCTCTTTTAGTGAGATTTCAAGTACACGGCCTATTTATTCTATGTCATGCAGTTCTTCAAAAATTTCTCTCTCTCTCTCCATATGAATAACTCCTTTCGTTGATGGTGTGAAATTGTACAATTTGATGTACAGAGTGAAAATACCCTAAGTGCGTATGGCATTCAGTACAAAATAGAGATGCAAAAAATAATGATGTATGAGCAGGACTTAACAAAAATTGATGACTCAGAGTGGTGAATGAGGCTGGGTAATGAATGTGTGGTGATTCACTCCTTCTCTTCTGGGGCACCAGCAATTGAGTCTGCACTTCCCATGAGTTTCTGAGAGAGACCAGAAGGCCATGGCACAATTAGAAAATTTGCCCGAGAAGGTTCTCAGACCTCCACAGGAAGGAACTTATTGACCCAGGGAATGACATTTTCAAAGCTGCCCTCAATATGAGGGTTGAGCCCCAACTCCTGTCAAAAGATTGAATGCCAACCAATGGGGCTTTAGCTTCAGTGAAGAAGACATCTATGGAACAAATGGGTCTAGAGTAGCTATGTAAGATCTCGCCAGAGTGGGTCCTGGTGATACCCTCAATGCCAGATGGGCCAGGGTCCTGATAGAGCTGCCATCAAAGTCTAATTTGATGGTGCCTTGTTCTGGTGCGGTGGTGATCACAAGGAGGATCTCAGGTCCGAGAATGTAATGGATCGAATGATATGTTGCCACTGAGTCATGAAATCTGCTGCCAAAGGTTCTCGACTTATGCCATTTCTCCCTAAGACCTGACTTTGGTTGGACAGGGAGAAATGGAGTTTGAAAAGGCTTACAATAGATAGAGTGACACAAGTGAAGTCAAACAGTTGGACCAAGAAATACTAGGACCTTAGAGGCCAGATACATTGATAAAAGAGTTGAGGAATAGATTCCTCTTCAGTGCTGCATCTTGAGGTTCTGTGGCCTCCAAAGGCCTTGGCAGTTGACACTTGGTTCTATTGATAAAAGCTCTTTTTTGTATCCCCATGTATGTGAACTCACATTTTGAACATTCTTGGCATGAGTGAGGGTGTTCAACTCACATGGGTAAAACGGGCCATGTAAACCTGCCCTAATTGGATGAAACAGGCAGGCCATTAGGTTGGATGAGCTCTACTTGAATGAAACAGGCCCTTAGAGTGGGTATGACTTGGTTCTCTTTCAATGAAACATGCCATTACAACCAACTGGATCTGTCTCTGTCTAGGACATATTGGGCTCTATCACTCTTTGCCTTAGCATACCCTAGGCCTCAGTTAGAAGAGTGGAACTGCACATTGGTGGATAGGCCTAGTCCCTATGATGCGCATCATCGAATAGGGTTCACAGGTGCCCTGTTAGGGTATCAGCACCCAGTGGTGGATATTTATCTAGGAGATGAAACAGGCTCCCATATGTTAGGATGGTGGCTTGTGAGGACATGTGCCTGAACGTCTCGAAACATCATCCTACAAAGTGTGTGTTGCTAGTCGTGTCCTGTAAGGGAGGGAAAGTGGACACTCGAGTTCAGTGCTTGGTCTATGTGACCTCTAGACTTGTGTAACTGCATGTGATGAGGAGTGGTATAGGTTGGTGGAAGGGATTGCACGATAGCGTGTTGGGGTGGATAAGGAGGCTGAGGAATTCTCAAGAGTTGGGGTGCAAGATTTTTGTGGTTTGGGGAGATCATGGGGGTGGATATGGAGTGAGCACGGAGTTCTGGTGTGGCTGTGTGGGAGATGCTTTAGACTTAGACAAGGAATAGGAATTTCCTTGAATTTGAAACTGGTGGCGATTAGGAACAATAAATGGGTCTGTGGGGAAAGAAAGGGAGGAAGGAAGGAGGAAGGACTTGTTGCTTATGGGGTACAGGGTCGAATAAAAGCAGATGACGTGCTGTCCATTGGAGGGGCTGTGGATGTTTTCCTTTGTGGTTCTCCCCCAACAAATGTTGGTGACTTGTTTCTTCATTCTTTTTTCTACCTCATTCAATGTCACAAGATTTTAGAGGTGCAACTGTAAATTGTTTCTTTGCACACACAAGTCACTCATCCAATGTCTCCAACTTTTAGATGTACCTTTCGTGCTCCCTTCACATAACTCACATGAATGTGTGTTCTCCATGGTGCTTAGTGCACACCGATGAACATAATGTTCCCCTCTAAAAGGCCCTATTGTTAAGCCAAAACGACATTAATAGGATATTGTAAGATCTTTATAAGCTATCAACATTGATGGGGTATCATTCAATGAAACATAAAAGAACATCAAATATGGAATCAGAGCACAGAGTCAAAACCCTAATTTCTTCTTGAGACTGTTCATCAATTTCTGTGAACAAAGAATCACCGCAAACCCTTACAACAATGACCCTGTGACGTAAAACAAGAACTACAGTATCTAAGAGAAAACCCACAATCAAGACAAGAAACTAGGAAGGGGTGGATTTTCTATAGTTGAATCTGGTTGATCTGCAACAGAATCAAGCAAGGCTGCTATTTTACCCCCATTAGAAGCCACTGATCCGACCAAGAACCCAAATAAAGGCATCAGTCCTTATCTGGATAAAATGTTGTAACATGCAATTCCTTTCTGCATTCCAAATCAAATGAGTTTGTTGCAGTCATCTATAAGGAAGGAAAACGAAATATTCTATAGACATGAAGAAACAACCTGACATTTGGGATAGTTTTTAGGAAGAATGCACCTAAGAAATCATCTGAGTTTACAAAGGCATGTAATGTATCCTGTGCAAATCATGTTTCAGTTCGGTGTGTACAATGTATACGTACTAAAGGGAAATGGGAAAATATTAGTCAATGTAAGTATATAAAAAGTTTTAGCATAAGGTCAAAACATCCAAGCGCATGCTCTAGTTAACATTTGTAGTTTGAGAATACTAATAATAATTCTTGAAATTTTTTGTTGAGGCTATATTTCATGAATTCTTAAACCTGATTCAGAAAATAAAGCAGGATAAATACTAAAGCCAAATGATTTCCTACTCCCACATGAATGTACTACCCATTTACTCCCTTGGGCAAAACTTACTTTATGGATATCTTTGTAATCTCAAATTTTGGGGATGTGACCTCTGGAATTGGCAAACAACCTCAAAGAAAAACAAAATTAGCTCTTCTCTCTATGTGCCTTTAAAAAAAAAAATATTATCCCAACCATCCAATTTTTGATGGGAATGATTTACATGTTGATGAACTCAAAATATTTTTTTCTTTAAAAATAATCATCTAGTTATAATTAGATAGATCCTGAAACTTCAAAAAAAAAAAAAAAACTCCCGAGTTGGTGTTTTGGTCAAGGGAGTAAATGTACAGTATGCTGCTGAGGGAGAATAGTATACACACTCAATAGTAAAATGTTTCCCAACTAATATAGTATCTAACACGTCTGAATTTAAGAATTAGAGCACACACTACACTTACACATGGATTTAACTCATTCCATGCTCCCTAGCAGAAGTATTTTACACAATCAAACAGTCACACTTGCAAACATCGATGCAATTGCAAGTGGTAGCCAAATTACACAATAAATAGGTGAGGGCATTGGTCCATTCCTGCATGTTATTTCTAACTTTCATTTTCTGGAAAAAAAAAAAACACTTACATTATGCAACAAATATTACAAGACTTGCTGGGCAGGCTAGGTTCAAAAACCAGGTTTGAGAAGTCGGCTGCTAACAGAGTAGATAAGACATAAAATGATAAAAATGTCCAGTCTTCTGCGGGGACAAGTGGTCGAACTTGTTTGCACTTGGTTTTTATTCTTTAACAAAAAGGAAAAAAGTAAATGCTGACAAAAGAAATATTACAAAAAAATCTGTAAATAGAAAAATGAAATAAGAAAAATAAGATAGGATAAATAAGACAAAGGATGCAAAAAAGTATCTTACAACGTGTTCGGGCGGGGGCAGGGGGGAGAGAGAGTGAATATGGAAGTGGAAGGAATGGCAGAAGAGATAATACACTTGCACAAACACACACACACATATAGGTACACAAACACACATCTATCAACACACACACACTTCTATCAACACACACACATATAGGCACACAAACACACATCTATCAACACACACACAATGCCTGGCCTATGGAATAGATGGTCCAGATTAAATCTCACAGATCTCGCTGGCCAGCATTGATGTTGATTTTTTATTTTATTTTCTGAGAGCACGTGTGTGCCTCATCTAGCTTGAAAAAAAAACAAGAAAATAAAAAGTTCATACATAGCAAAAATGTGGGCCAAAATGTGTCCACCATTTTCTGTGAGTGTAGGCTGTCCAGATGACCACCTGTCCTTCAATCCAGCCGCCTGGTCTATAATGTTCTAGGCTGGCCAGTACACAGAATCGAGAGAGAGAGAGAGAAGTTTCACATCCATCATGTGCTCCAAGCCTTTTGGCATCCATAAAGAGCACTGCCCATCAACAAACTCCAGCACGGCAATGAAGTTAACAATAAAATGGGTCAAATGTGAGTCGCTGAAATTAATGGCCAAGCCAATCCATCAGTTGATAGGCAAATTGGGCTCAAAATTCAAATTGTTAAAAAAACAAAAAGTGAAAAATGTCAAACTTTCCCAAAAATGGACGAAATATGGCGAAGAACAGCAAAACTGGATTGGCCAGATCACCACAAACAGGGTGAAAAGACTGGGTTTAAAGAGAGCAAAAAATTGCAAAAATGGGATTGAGTGGTTCTCCATGAAACAGGCAAACCAGCTGCATGAGATTTTGGACAGTTCCCGACTGATTTTTGACCTTTTTGTGTCCAGACCAGCTGGTCCAGTTTGAAAGTGGGACTATCTACCCAGGCAAGTGTATACCGACTAAAAGTTTTCCTTCTTTTCTTTATTTTCACGACCCCAATTACTTACAAGAGTCTAAATACATTATAAGAAACAACAAAAAATAAAAGAATCCCAAGACTCTCACTTGCTGCCACTTTAAAAATTCTTTATTACACAAACAAAATTGCATAAACTTGATCTTGGGATCATGAAACACATAACTACAGGCTATCAACCCTTTCAAATAAAAACTAAATTGCCAGAAGATTACCTCAACTTGACTTTGCACACCCCACTTCGCGTCTCCTCCTCTAATGGCGTACGTGATCAAGGTCATTCTCAGATCTTTTAAAGTACAGAACCTTAGGCTATCAACCCTTTCAAATCATAGAACAATGGTGGAACAATCTCAAGACTAGGCCTCAATGCCTAAGCATGGTCTACTAGGTCTCGATACCTAGTATGGAAGGCTAGGTCTCAATACCTAGTATAGAAACTAGGTCTCCATACCTAGTACAATAGGCTAGGTTTCAATACCTAGTATGGTAGGCTAGGTCTCAATACCTAGTATGGTACCCTACCCCCTTTTCTCAAAGCTTGGGGCGTGCCCCCCTTTCACAAAATCTGTAGGCCATCCTTGCAAACAGGCTCAAACATCTCGCCCCCAAACAAAATAGATATTATTTGATGCCTAAGAGCCAAAAAACTAGCACCCGACTCTTAATCTCAGAAATAGTAAAGAAGCTGGACAAAGGGCAAAACCAGTTTTGTATACGAACACCTGGTCTGTGGGTGGTTCAATCTTTTGCATATCCGTTTCATCTATACAATAGTTAACAATTTCAAAAAGAAAAAAAAGGGGACAAAACCAGTGTTTCAAAACCTGGAACTGGGTTCTGAACCTGTTACCCATCAAACCGGTTCAAAGAAGCGATCGAGAGTAGTTAGGCACGTCAAGCCAGTGTAAGGAAATAACTAAATTGAAAACAGGGGGAATCAGGCGATTTTGGAATTCCCTAGACTTGGATCCCACCTGCCCCTCTCCCCCCCCTCACCCCCTTCTCCCCCCACCCCACCCCCCCTCCCCCAATAAACCCTAAATAAGCACCATCTATATAGGGTCTCCTGACATGAACAGATTGTACAACGTGCTTCAATAAAACTGCTAAGCACCAAAATGGCAAAGCTGATAAAGCAGGATATGAGGTACTTCATTTACTAAGGGTTTTGAGGTGCTTTAAGGGATAAACAAGTCCATGATTCATAGCATGTGTGGATTAAATGATGTCAAGCCAAAAAGCACAGCACTATGATTTGTATAGCATACAGAGAATTAGTAGAGTGATTACCCCAAAAATTCTGAAAATATATGGTGGATATGCTGAGCAAGGACAATAAATGAATGAACCACGAATAACAGCACCTAAATAACTGTACGCAGTTCACACAATAAAACCCAGAGTGAAAATCAAGACATCAAAATTTGAGTCACATGCATAATCAGTGGTGTACACTATTCATCTAATTCTGAATTACATGCCTGTATAAGTCACATCCATAACCAGTACATTATTTATTTAGGGCATTTAGATTAACAATGATAATTAGTGATGTATAACATTCATCTATTTCTAAATTGAATGTCTCAAAGTATGCGTAATTTTCATCATATTGCATCTAATTACCCAAAGAACAATTTAGAAATTCATCAAAATCTTATCATTAGACTCACAACAAGTTCACCAAATCCAGGATATGCTGATTCAATTGGCACAATTTCCATTCGCAATGCCCATCCTCCATAACCTTCAACTATCGGAGTTACTTGGGTCTGCACAAGAATGGATTCTCATTTAGCATACTAAAGATAAAGATAGTGAGAATTAATTTGCGTATAAAGAATACAAAATAATGCTACCTCACTAAAACTTAGAACTTGGAGAGACCCTTTATTTTGAAGCTGACGTACGAAGTCATTAAGCTCTACTAACCATGGAGATCCACTTCTTAGCTCTGTTATCTGCAAGAAGACATCATACTTTTATGCAAATATCATTTATGGTACTTGACAAAACTTTCCCTTGAAATGAGTTCTATTGCTTCAGAAAGGAAAAAAAATCCCCATTTCTATGGAATTCAAGTAATGTAAACAATGAATTATTCAAACTTTTAACTTTTAATAGCAATAAAACTAACCGAAGGAGCAGGGCGAAGCACTAGACCCATACGCCAAGGCATGTCTGCCAGCTTGCTGCCAAAATGTGGGCAACTGTAGAACACCTGAAAGTATGAAAAGTTAGGTCCAATATGTGATAAAAACAACGTTGATCTGATGATAGATATTAATGAATATCAATCTGATGACAGATAACTTACAACTCCCAAGGTGTTATTAACAAGCTTTACTATGTTCTCCTTTCTTGCTTGATATAGCAACTGCTTAACGACCAAGCCTCCCATACTGCAGCAAAAAATGGTCTAACACTATTATATATATCTGATAACCCACATAGATAAGTTGTGCAACTAAATTACTCTACAAATTTACTGCAATGAAGACAAAAAAGGGCTGTCATGCTTGCAAACGTTTGATTTATCCTAGTTAATGAGATTGATAATCCACCAAATAGTATAACTGATTACCATGCCTCTCAGTACAACTCTCTGCCTCCAAGCAAACAATGTGATCGAGTAGACCAATGAGGCAAAATATAGCCTTCCACTAAGCTAGCCGATGGCATAAATATTAAAAACACTGTTACTGGGTTTTTCCACAAGACATACAACTTTTAAGAATACTCTTTTTTTCTTTTTATTTTATTCTTTTTTTATTTATTTTTTAATGTTAACTTTGGAGGGGTGGGATTGGAGCTCTTGACGCCACGTTATCGCTCCTCGTACCCTGACCACTGTGCCAAGTGACTTGTTCTCACTTTTAAGAATATTCTTGTTATCCTCTAATGAAGTCTTGAGCAAACACTCAAAAGATATTCATAAAATAAATCAAAATTCCAAAGTATAATTATATCTGTTAGGGTACTTTTTCCAATGTACATTATTATGGTACATTGGTTAGCCCAAATTTTTATCACTGTTTATTCTTTAATTTTTCATATTACCCCATATCATATTCATAACATGTATAACAACTTCTAGGTATGTCACATTCCCACCAATGGTATTACTGTTCTTTCCCATACAGATCAAACTACAATGCTCCGTATTTAGCTCAAGGATGGTTAGGTGTAACTACCCATAGCAACTTCCACATAAGTTTTATTTCTATTATTTTGTTTACTTTTTTTGTATATTTATCCAAGTATTAATAGAAAAAAATAAAAAGCTCATCCTTCCACTCCTTAGGGGAGCCAACAAGGCCAGCTTAAACCTCTCTGTAAGTGGTGGAAGAAGGTGCATTCAGATGTTGTCACTCCGAAAAACACCTCTTCCATAATGCTGGCTGCTACCAAGGGAACTCTCTCCAAGCCATATTGATGACATTTAGCTGCCGTTGACCAAAGTGTCTTAGAGAAAGAATCCATAATTCTGTATTGAGTCATAAGGCAGCCCAAAGGAAAACTTCAGAGTCACAAATTCCAACAATCCAACTGCACTTGGAAAGGATCACCAAGCACACATTATCCCTGAAAACTACTCCCACATCTTCAAAACCAGAGTTATTAGAAAATTTACGATCAGAGTTAAACCTTATACAGTCAGGTACTGGAGGAAATCACAATGCGTGAGGTCTAGACAGGCTGCCCAGCCCTAAAACGCTAGGGCCTAGGAAGTTCACCATGGCCCAAGGGCCAGGCTGGGCGATGAAAAAACTAGCCAATCTGACCATTTTTTTGCTTTATTTTCTTTTCTCTAGGTCTATTAAGCCTGGTCCCAACCTGGACAGGGCCGCGATCGAGCCTAGGTCTCATCGGCCAGCCTTGGCCTAGACGGGCTCAAGCTGGCCCAATAGGAACCAGGGCCTAGCTATAGGGCTAGGGCTGGCCTAGCCCAAGCCGAGCCTGATGCCAGCCCTAGAGAGAGAGAGAGCATATAAGCATTTGCGCCACATTAAGGAGGGAAAGCTTTAAAGGGAAGGATAAGGACAATAAGAAAGGGTAGAATAAGAGAAAGGCAATGCAGCATCAAATTGGAGAGCTATCGTTAACTTCAAACCCACCAGAATCCCTAGATCCAGCTTTTGGATACCCCCAACCCTTGGATCATTAAACTTTAATGCTGATGGCTGCTCTTTGGGGAACCCCGAACCCCGAACTGAGGGCATTTAACAGAATCTTCAGAAATTCCTAAGCCTCTCCTTGTCTAGTGTTAAAATCCTTTGTTATCTAAGTTTTGGACCTAAGTGTTCTAATTATATTTGTCCATATCATGAATTTTAATGAAATGTAAGGCTAAGAGGGACATGAGGGTAGGTTGAACCTCATCTCTTTTTCTTTCCTCTCATGTTTCTTAGAGTTCTCTCTTCTTTTTTCTTCTTCTATTTTCTCCCTATATTCTCTGACATGGTATCAAAACCGATCCTTTATGCTTCTTGAATTCTTTATCTTTTCATCTTCCCCTTTCCTTTCAACTTCTCCTTTTCTTCCTTTTTTTCCCCTTTTTAATCATAAAACTACAGTAACATGCTATAGTACCATGTTACAGTAGCATGCTACAATCCGTGTTACAGTATCGTCCATGCGGATCAAGATTTACAGATATATCATGACCTAGTTTCAATGTTTGCAACATGTTGATGCTCAGATGTATTCAATGTGGTGTTGCCCTAATTTGTTCAAGTGTGAAAATGTGACCAGATCTGAATGATAAGTATCTCTCACCTTTTTAAGTTGTTTTTACATGGTACTAGGCTTGTGTGAGTGACTGAAATTGGCCAACCTTGGTTGTCCTTGTTCTCCTTTATTTTTTATGCTCATGGAAAGTAAACCTAGAATCCCAAGTCTTCCTGAAATTGTGTTCCCACAAATCACCTCTATAAAACTAAAGAAGTTCAATTATGTTGTATGGGCTAAATCTATTAAAGTATCCCGAGGTGCAAAGGGGAAACTGAACTATTTAACTACGGACAAACCTAGTAATTCTAATAGTAAATATGGGGATCGGATGGGAGAGAATTACATAATCATGACCTGGTTGTAGAGCATAATGAAATCCCAAATAAGTGCCAATGTGACGCTTCTTGATATAACCAAAGAAATTTTAGACACTTTAAAAGAAACATATTCATGAGATTAAAATATCTCCGGAGTGTATGAGCTGTTTGAGAAAATGTTTCAATTGCAACAAGATAATAAAAGTGTCAGTCAGTATTAGAGTACCCTCAGAGGTATGGGGGAAGAGTTGAATCTATATCAGCCTAAATCTGGTGATGTGGAATTACATAAGAGGTAGTGTGAAGAATTTAGGGTTGCCAAATTTTTATCTGTCATGAATATCATTTTGTACATGGACAGATCTTGGCAAGCAGTGAACTCCCATCTCTCGCTAATGTTTACTCGTGCATTCAACGAGCTAATATATCTACTTCTCCCTCTCCTTCGGACTCAAGTATTAGTGATGGATGGGCATTGAATACAAATGTAGGGAGAGGTGATGGAGGTAGAGGTCAGGACGTGGTCGTGACTCGGGAAGAGGCCGAGGTAGAGGTGATGGTGGCACGGAAAAAGGAACTTGCAAGTGTATGCATTGTAGGCATTCAAATCATATCGCTGATACGTGTTGGGACAAGGTTGGTAAACGTTTTTGGGTACACCAGGTTACTTACACATCTGAGAGTGATGAGCCTTATTTGAGTAGACTCAGTGACCACCAACAACAGTCAAATTTCATGACCCTGTTGTGCTTTCCATAGAAGAATATAATAAACTTGTTAAACAAGTAACAACAGTCTATGGTTCCCTCTTCCTCTTCTACTACCATTCTTGCAAATTCAGGTACTTCTGTGTTTCTTACCTCTCAGAAACCTGCTCCCTAAGTTATTGATTCAAGAGCATCTAATTACATGATTGGCGAATTTGCCGTTTTTGTATTTTTAAATAAGTACATTCCTAATTCTTCTGCTACTTTGGTTAATGGATCGTGGTTTAGTGTGTCTGGGTAGGGTACAGTTATGCCTAAACACCTTTCTCCGTCATATGTACTATATGTCCCAAAGTTTCCCTTCAATTTATTATATGTGAGCAAATTAACCAAATCTCTTCATTACTCTATAAATTTTTATCCTTCTCCTTGTACCTTTCAAGATCAAAAGACAAAGAGGACGATTAGTGGCGGTTATGAGTCAGGCAACTTGTACTACTTGGATCATAACCTCAGCGGTGCTGCTCTTTACTCTATTGATTCTCCTTGCTTATGGCATTGTCAGTTGGATCATCCTTCTTTCATCAACTTGAAGTTGTTAATCCAGTCTATGTCTTCTTTAGAGTGTGAAGCTTGTTAGCTAGGAAAGCATCATAGGGCCTCATTACGTCCTAGAGTTGACAAACAAGGACTTCTTCCGTTTTTTGTTCATTATGTTATGAGGTCCAACTAGAGTACAACTTTGTTTGGTCATAAGTATTTTGTGATTTTTGTGGATGATTATTCACAAAATGACATGGTTATATTTTATAAGAAAGATTTCAGATTTTCTCCATATTTAAATTGTGTCACAAGGAGATTCAGACTCAATTCAATACGAATGTGTATTTTGCAATCTGATAATGCTAACGAGTCTAAAGAATTTCAGAATTATTTTGCCGAACATAGAATTTTGCACCAAACTTCTTGTGCACATACTCCTCAAAGGAATGGGGTTGATGAAAGAAAAAAATCAACACTTGAAGTAGCCGGTTCTTTGCTTATTAATATGCAAGTTCCAAAGGTTTATTGGGGAGATGCCTTACTAACAACATGCTATTTAATTAATCGTATGCCTTCTTCAACCTTAAATGGAAAAATACTCAATTAGTTCTCTTTCTTGATTCTCCACTTTTCGGTGTTACTCGAGTTTTAGTGTGTTTTCTTTGTTCATAGATGAAGTGCTGGTAATGATAAGCTAGATCCCTGGGCTGTCAAGTGTATCTTTCTTGATTAATCACACTTTCAAAAAGGTTAGAATTGTTATCATCCTGGTTTCCAAAAGAAATTTATTTGTGCTGATGTTACCTTTTTTTAAAATACTTCATACTTTTCAAAAGTGAGTCGTGTGATTGATACAAACAATTTTTATCCTACTTCTGAAGAAGAATCAAAGTCCTCGCCTTCTATGATTCCTCTTCCTATTCCTGTTCATACTTCTTCACCCCAGTTGCCTGACTATGTTGAATCTAGTGCACCTATACATCATGATGTTTCTCAAGAGCAGCCCATAAGGTTTAACACCAGAAGAAAAATGCAGGTTGGACATCCGTCATCAATTCAGCCGGCCTCTCAATCATCAGCTTCATTTGCTGATCCACTCCA